GTTTCTGAGGGTTGTTGTGTCCGGTCCAATTCCGATTTCGATCTGTACGTCACACCAAGTAGTTCATGGGTCCCTCCTCATTCGTTTAGTCTTTTACTAGCTAAACAGTTGACTGTCCAGAAGGTTAGTCAATTACAGAAGTGACCAAACAGAGTACAAAAGCATATTTTCACCGAGTTTGAGATTCAATAGCTCAGCAAGAAATTTTGCCCAAAGTCCCGGAGGACACAGCACCAGCAATTAACCCTGGAGCTAAATAGTGGCCACCGGGAATTTTTAAGATGCTTTGGTGGTGCGCGAACAGAAGCCATGCAGGGAAAGAACAACAGCTAATAGAAGTAACTCTGTGCAATTACCGCTATCTGATTAAGTACGACTGCACAATTTTAAAAGATGATGACCATCGAAAGATTTATTGAGTGTCTATATGTAAAAATCAATTACAATAATAACTAAAAAAAAGAAATTTACAAATAAATATGAACGTATAACAAATTACAAATCGTCTCATTATTATGTTTGCAAAAATCAATTTCACGATTTTTCTTTTTTTTTTACAAAATTTTTAAAAAGTAATTGCCAGTTTTGGCAACTGCATTACAACTTTTCTTCTTTTCTACAGAATTTTTTTGGAACGAACTGTCAAGCAGAATCAAGTGAAAAAAATAAGTCCACCAGAGGGCCGGACAACTAAAGTTCGGATATGCCAAATAAAAAAGAAATTTTTAAAAAACACAGGGCTTTTTTTAATAAAAACACAAAATTTTTGAAAGACAGCTACTGAAATTCATTTGCTGGACAAAAAAGCCTAGTCCAGCAGTACCGGGTAGCTAAAATGTACGTCTTCAGACGCGTAAAATGTAAATCCATTCCATCTTACTGCTTAGCACAATCACTAAAAATCAAAATGTATAAACAAAAAAAAAAAACCATACAAAAAGCGGCTTAAATCCTACCAGCTAGGCACTGTAAATCCAGAAATCACCGATTTCTGGAATAAACAGGTAAATGAAAATGAAATTGTAAAATCCTAAAGTATGAGTAGAACAATAAAAATTATAAATTAGCAAAAACATACCATGAATCAGAATCACGAAAATAACATACTGGATTTTTTTTCCATGCTAGACGGAAGAATCACAAAATTGTACTCAAAAATGAGGCATTATTACAGATATATTAAATTACTCGAAAAAAAAAATTATAACATTCCTCAAATAGCGCACCTCAAAATCTACGAACACAAAAAACTACTGCGGAATCAGACCAAAACTATGAACAAAAAAGTACCATAGAATCAGACTATTATTGTGGAGCTCCCGACATTATTGAAAGATCGCAAATTACACTGGTTGTAACTCAAAAAACCAGCTTATCCCTAGTTTTTTCATAAATTTGCTAGTGACCAATGCAACGGGAAATGAAGCCCTAAGATTGGGTTAAAGCAAAAAAATCTCAAAATGTGGCATTTAGTGATTTCTAAAAATTTTTTACGTTTCGCGCATATGCAGAACCTATGAAAGACATCACAGGATGCGCTCTGTGGTACCACACTCAACAAAGAAGCAACATCATCCGGCCCCTCACTATCACAGTCTGCTGCTTCCTAACTTTTTCAAAATGTTTTTGGTGGGCCTATGAATAAAAATTTTTACGTAGCATCCGAAGAATTGATAAGTCTGCACACTAATAAACTTGAATGCTTGCAGTACCGGTACTAAAATCAAGCACTTGAGTATTAAGCAAGATTTTTCAGGAAATATAAACTCGCCGATGACAACGGCAGCGATTTTAAACAAAATCTGCTTTCTGTCCGGGCACTGCTCATAGCTTGCTACCACAAACCAATGGAAAATTACTATGGGATATGCAAACTCAGTCTAGAATGAACGAAGAAAAAAGAGAAAAAAAACCAAAACAGAAAATGCGGAAACTATAAGCTTGCTTTTTTTTCGTGTGAAACAAGCGTACACACAGAAAGACCTGAAAAGAGGAAAATGTCTGTGAGTGTGTATGTGTGTGTGTGTGTGTGTGTGTGTGTGTATGGATGAGATCACTCAGGATTGCGCTGCAACAAAACGAATGCAATCCTCGAAATCGATAGCTCTTTCCAACAGTTTTTGCTTCTCGACAACGCCACTCTGTTGCAATGAGTCGCCAGTATCACCGTCCGATGAACATCCCGAATCTGTGCTTGTCCACAGTGACGAACCACCTTCCAGTAGAGACTGTAAAAAAAACAGCACATCAGCAAAAACAGTTTCAACTTATCGAAAATTTACTATCCTGCCTTGGAAGTCCCGCGAAAAGGCGACAAAGCATGAGAAAATCCTTAATCTTAATTAAATTATACTGTTACCACAGTCGTCGTACTGACGAAGTCCAAGTGTGGTAACGGTAAGAAATGTATACGACTTAATGGACCGAAATATTTCATACCTACTTTAATACTTCTTTTTTTCCCATCCTTCCTTTCTTTCCTTTTCCATCATCCTTTCTTATATTTTTCCACCATCATTCTTACATTTTTCTTTTAACCTTAAAAAAATGTGCGCTGCACGTAGCAGTAGCGTTAGGCAGTACTGGGAGTGCAAGTAGCATAAATATTCGTACCGCTCCAGTTATTAAGTGGAGCACAAGAGCTGGTAGTGTAATGGATAACATGCCACGCTTCGAAGAACGTAAGAGCTCGAGAATATGCGAGGTTTGATTTCCGGCCCAACAGTGGTTCCGTTTGTAACACAGCAACATTTTCGGTAAATTTTCGTAGGTTCAGATATGCCATTAAGAAGATGAAAGCCGGGGGAAAAAACTGTGCTAGGAAATGCGATACCGCTCAAGTTTCTGACCAATTCTTGAAAGCAGAAATCCAATGGCAGGCAAAGTTGAGTGACGTTCTTGCGAAATACAAGTTATGCGGATACGAAGGTGCCTAATTTTTATTCTTTTAGCCTTGTTCGCAAGACAAAAATATTGAATTTTATAGATTTATATTCATTAATAAATGCATGTGTACTCAGGGCATGAAAATTTTCGCAGATTCGATTCAACTGTGGAAATGTTAGGATCGCAGCAGACGGATATTGGTCAAAGTAACTGTGAAAATAGGCAAGTTGTGAACTGCATAGATGGAGAACCATAGAGTGAATATTAAAAGATTTGCAAGGCGTTTAAGACCTCAACAAATTTTGCTTTTACTGATCCTTTGAAACGGTCATAATGGTTGAAAGAAAAAAAAGCTCATAAAACAACTCACATCGTCCTCCCAATCGAAAGATGGTGCTCGAATGAGGCTGACGAAGCACGATAAATTGGGAAATGAGCGTGAGCGTCGCAATAAACGAATACAGCCAAAATTGCAGTAATCACATTCTTCCGGCAAAATCG